TACCTTTTTTCTACTTTCTACTCCGTCCAGAATTGCGCTTGGTATGTCAAATTTCTCTTCAACTACACCTAAATCCAATTACCCATCACATCCACAGACACTTTCATGTCTATCCATCACAAGCTAACACTTTAACCTTTGCGACAGATGTCGAAGTACCTCATCTAACGTCCCACAAGTAAATTCTTGTGTGACCCCTAGAGCTTCTATTCCTTACCTCGAAGTGCGTACCTGCATATCGGAATCTTTGGAATACCCCAAATCGAACGTGCGACAGGCTCACTGGTGAGAGGGTGACAGATATGGCGTGGCAGCCGGAACAAGAAGCTCTGAGGCAATTGTCAGGATGCTTAAAAGACTCGTTAAGTGGCCACGACAAGAATGCTCAGAAGCAGGCCGAGATTGTAAGCTTCCTTCTTCGAGGATACATAACTTATGATGGTGTCGGTTTTCCAAAGCTCGATCTAATTATCATACCAAACAGATGCTGTCTCAAGCAAAGTCCTCTCCCGATATCAACAATTACCTTACCTACCTGTTTTCGCACTCCGAGGTCCCGTCGGGCTTGACGTATACTCACAATGAATACTTTGCGATTCGATCGGCAGCAGCCGTAATGCTGAAGAATAACATCAGATCTGGATACAAATCGATACCTCCTGAAAGTCTGTCTCTTATACAATCTTCCGTTCCGTTGGCCCTCCAAGATAAAACCCCAACCATACGAAATTACGCTGGAAATGTGATCACAGAAATTGTTGGTAAGGGAGGAATATTGGGTTGGCCTCAGATATTGCCAGATTTGCTTGCTTTGATTGGGAATACTGATGGTACAATTTCACCAGAGGCACAGGAAGGTGCCATGGCAGCTCTGTCGAAGATCTGTGAAGATAATCGAAAAATGCTGGACAAAGAGTATCAAGGGCAACGACCACTTGCTTTCATTATTCCGAAACTTATTGAGTTTGCTGCGAATGAGAGGCCTAGAATAAGAACTTTGGCATTGACCAGCTTGAATATATTCATTCCGCACAAACCGCAAGCCTTACTTGTTTCTCTAGACGACCTTCTTAACCGCCTCTTCCAGCTCGCCAGCGACCCCTCAAATGAAGTTCGACGACAAGTCTGCCGAGCTTTTGTCCAGATTGTGGAGATTCGACCCGATAAGATCCTTCCCCATATCGGTGGTCTGGTTGATTACATGATAGCACAGCAACGAAAAACTGATGACGAGGAGTTAGCATGCGACGCCGCCGAGTTTTGGCTTACTGTTGGAGAACACGATGAATTATACACTGCCCTGGGTCCATATCTTGACAAAATTATCCCTGTGTTACTTGAGAGTATGGTATATAGTGAAGAGGATATTGCTATGCTTGAAGGAGGAGGCGATGATGCCGATATTGAGGATCGCGCCGAGGACATCAAACCAAAGTTTGCGAAAAACAAGGCCGCTAGGATGCAAGCAAATGGTGCAAACAATGGCGCAGCAAACAGTGATTACGCCAAGCTCGCAGGCATGGATGACGATGACCTTGATGAGGGGGAAATAGGCGACGACGATGATGATGATGAGGCCCCTGAAGACAGATGGAATTTAAGAAAGTGTTCAGCTGCAGCACTTGATGTTTTCGCGAACGATTTTCGCGAACCAGTCTTCAACACGATCCTTCCATATTTGATGACCAATTTACGACATCAGGAATGGCCATATCGAGAAGCAGCGGTTCTGGCTCTCGGAGCTGTTGCTGAAGGCTGTATGGCCGTCGTTACTCCACATTTACCTGACCTGGTACCCTACCTGATCTCACTCTTGAACGATCCTGAACCCTTACTTAGGCAAATCACCTGCTGGACGCTTGGTAGATACTCTGCTTGGGGGGCTGGGCTTCAAGATACGAATCAAGGAGCACAGTTCTTCGAGCCTATGATGGAGGGCATCCTGACAAAGATGCTGGACAACAACAAGAGGGTACAGGAAGCTGGTGCGTCGGCCTTCGCACATCTCGAAGAGAAAAGCAGGTGCCAATCTCACGCCGTACTGCAAACCAATCATTCAGCAATTTGTCACGTGCTTTGAAAAATACAAGGACCGTAACATGTTCATTCTTTACGACTGCGTTCAAACACTGGCCGAGCATGTAGGCCAAGGTTTGGCACAACCAGAGCTTATTCATCTATTGATGCCGGCACTTATCCACCGATGGCACAAAGTTTCTGATCAATCACGGGAATTGTTCCCACTCTTAGAATGCTTATCGTATGTCGCTACTGCTCTGGCAGAAAGCTTCGCCCCATTTGCCGCCCCCGTTTTCACGAGATGTGTAACAATCATCCATCAAAATTTGAAAGAATCCGTGGCGGCGGTCAATAATCCAGGGTTAGATGCTCCGGACAAGGATTTTCAAGTAACTAGTTTGGATTTGTTGAGCGCTATTATCCAAGCAGTTGACGATAAGCAATCTGCAGCGCTCGTATCCGGTTCGCAGCCCCAACTTTTTCAACTTCTCGTATATTGCATGGAGGATCCTGAGAACGACGTCCGCCAATCATCCTACGCATTATTAGGGGATTGTGCGAAATACGTATTTTCACAGCTACGAGATTTCCTCCCTACGCTGCTCCCCGTGCTAATTAGACAACTTGACCTTGATTCGATTGTTGATGAGCAGATTGAGTCGACTTTTAGTGTGCTCAACAATGCATGCTGGTCCGCAGGTGAAGTTGCAATGCAATACCAAAATGATTTGGCCCCATACGTGCCCGAATTGTCCAAAAAATTCCTCGAAATATTGACCAATCAAATGGTACCAAAGTCTGTCAATCAGAACTCGCGAGCCATAGCTCTAGGGCGAATGGGTTTATTCAACG